TGAAGCAATGTCATTCCTTCAGTATATTTTTGTAACATATTATGGTTTTGAAAAAGCTGAAAAGGACCACCACAGAATCCGATTGGCCTTGGCTTTTGTAGGCAAACGGAAATTAACAAGTGACCTGCATATGTACAACAATTCGCAAGGATCCTTTTTGCTGGCATGGCGGGTAAACGAAAGAAGTAAGTGAACAAATTAATTGTACCGTACGTTTAACACAGTAGTAGTTAAATGTAGCCAGCAATAGAATTATACTGACCCTGTTTTCTTATACCTTGTTTCGCCTTTCAATCCCTGCAAGGTGTGTATGTGTGTATGGGGGTGAGGGCGGGGGGGGGCGGTCTGGCTTACTGTTGTGCCACATTATACTATGATAGCAAGTTGATTACGTATTACCAGCAGTCTATGAGCAATACTGACCAGGTATCTTTTCTCAGAATAATATCTTTTTTTTTTTGGCAATGTATCAATAAAAATAAAAAGTTCCTTAGTTAAGTGTAGAACCTGTCTAAACAGAAACTGAATAAACGCAAATTGCAAAATGTATTTAGGTGGATCGCGACGGAAAATATTGACAAGTTGGAATACGTGAGCCGTAGCCCACTGGCCAAGGGTGACTTAGGCATCTAAAAATCACCAAATTTGATGCCAAAAGCAATAAGAATATCAATCTACGCTTAGGACAATAAGGTATATATACACATTTGCATTACGTTCCAGACTGTAGCATTGTGGTAAAGTCACGGGTTCGATGCCTCTACAGTGTCACTGTCAGCATACATTTTCTTTTTTACTGAGAATTGTCATAGCTCTACCAAACTGTCTCCGTCCTTTCACCGGGTGTCAGGACACAGGTACATTGAACTAAATGGTCTGGCTGTGTTGATAAAGAGTCCGCGCACAAAATTATAAAACCAACTCAAGCACAATGTAGGGGAAGGAAAAATATATAAAGGAAATAACCACCATCAGGTCAACAATTGTATCAACAACAACGGCAACATAAATGCAAACCAGATCAATAATAATTTTAATAACTCTAACAATAATAATGATGATGATGATGATGATGATGATGATGATGATGATGATAATGATGATGATGATGATGATGATGATGATGATGATGATGATGATGATGATGATGCAAATAGTATACCGTACCTATCAGAATCGACAAGAAGAACAGTTCAGCCCATTTCAGCATGTTTCGCCCGCCTCGCGTCGCATCCCCCTGAGTACGTGAAAAGAGACAACACAATGTGGAATTATAATTATAAGAACTGCCACGCTACAAAAACAGAGATTTCTACAAGCTTTGCTCACTGGAGGTAAACCAGCAGACAAAATTCGAAAATGGGGGATATATTCAAAGCCAGAGCTGAAATGGAGAATAACTTGCCTTTATTATTTTTTTAAAAAGACAGTTAAAAAAAACACGATCAGAGAAAGGTCATCGTTATGAGAACAAAGAAAACACAATCAACGAATAGCGTAAGATTACTAGGTTACCAGTAATTAGTGTAATTGAATTAAATGTTTCAGTTTAGAGACAGGTACATGCATGAAACAAACATTAGGGCGTTCTGGTACTGGTTTAAAACAAAAAAACATATTTCTGTAAAACTGAAATAAGGGGTTTAATCAAGGATGCTAAAACAAGTGCTGAGACATGTATAAATAAAAGACTAAATATGTTGTTACCACAGCGTAAAGTACACATTATCTGTCCCCGTCGTTTTATGCAAGAAAAATTATGAAACTAAGCAAACTGATCCCAAAAATAGGAAATTATGCGATTCTGTTAATTTTAACAAAGAATGATGAAGGAAAATAATAAGAAATTATGCAAATAATGACCAAATTTTGCTACATTATGCGGGGTGCATAAAACCACGGGGACATATTTATGTACATTGTCTACTCGGCATTTTCTGTGTATACAAAAAGAAAAAGAACTTCGCGTTGACATTTCACTTCTTGATGACATATTCTAGGACCAAAAGGAGAACAAAAGAAAGTGGGATACGGTACAGGAATATCTAACTGTTATGTTAGCAAAAATAAGGTACTATCAACCATTAAAACAGTGACAACAACGACTTCAACGACGACTTCAACGACGACTTCAACGTCGACGACGACGAC